CGGAGACGAGAGACGAGAAGAGAGATGAGAGAGAGAGAGAGAGAGAGAGAGAGAGAGAGAGAGAGAGAGAGATTAATTCGGATCCGAAGAGCTCTAAAAGTAGGATGGTAACGACTGTCGGTCAAACGAGCCGCCGATCCCTGAGGATGAACCTCGACCGCGAAGGAAGCCTTCGAAGCTGAGGGTTTGAAGGGCAGCGCCAGAGCGGTGGCGATCTGCGCACTCGGGAGACGGGACTGCGGAGAGTCGTTCGTGGCGAGGACGCGTGCTTGGGGGAATGTGCTCAGAACACGCGGAGATTCGCATGCATATGCGCGCAAAGACAGAGACAGACACACACACACGTACGCACACACAAACAAACACACACACAAACACAAGCACAAGCACAAGCACATACAGAGACAGAGAGAGAGAAGAGAGAGAGAGAGAGAGAGAAGAGAAGAAGAGAGGAGAGAGAGGAGAGAGAGGAGAGAGAGAGAGAGAGAGAGCGAGAGAGCGAGAGAGCGAGAGAGCGAGAGAGGAGAGCGAGAGAGAGAGGAGAGAGAGAGAGAGAGAGAGAGAGAGAGAGAGAGAGAGAGAGAGAGAGAGAGAAGAGAGGAAGAGAGAGAGAGAGAGAGATGAAGGAAACAGAGAGATGAAACAAGAAAAAACAAATAAAAAAAACTCAGAGGAGACCGACTCCCCCCCCCCAAAAAAAAAAGCTAAAAAAAAGAAAAAAAAGAAATAAGAAATGGAAGAAAAGGTGGAAAAGGAAGAAGAAGGAGAAGAAGAAAGAAGAAAAAGTATAAAAGACAGAAAGAAGGAGAAAACAAGACAAAAGAGTAAGATGGCCATAGATGGAAAGCGAGAGCGAGAGCCGTCCCAGCGCCTCAAGTGACTTTGGCTGGAGTCGATGTAGCGAGACAAGTGTGTCAGGGTGAGGCGTCGGTGCCGGAGGAGGAGGGGGGGGGAAGGGTTTTAAGGGTGGGGGGAGGGGTGAAGGGGGAGGTGGTTGCCCTTCATTCCTAGGGCTTCTGGGTGGCAAAAGGGGCGTATGTATGGGACTACTACTACTTGTTTTTCTTCTTCGTTATTGTTATTGTTATTATTATTATTATATATCATCATCATCATCATCATCATCATCATCATCATTCATCATCATCATCATCGTCATCGTCATCGTCATCGTCATTCGTCATCGTCATCGTCATCGTCATCGTCATCGTCATCGTCATCGTCATCGTCATCGTCATCGTCATCGTCATCGTCATCGTTATCGTTATCGTTATCGTTATCGTTATCGTTATCGTTATCGTTATCGTTATCGTTATCGTTATCGTTATCGTTATCGTTATCGTACTACTACTTACTACTACTACTACTACTACTACTACTACTACTACTACTACTACTACTACTACTACTACTACTACTATTATTACTATTTATTTACTATTTTTTTTGTCATTATTTTTATTATTATGATTATTAGCATTAGCGTTATTGTTATTGTTATTGTTATTGTTATTGTTGTTGTTATTATTATTATTATTATTATTATTATTATTATTATTATTATTATTATTATTATTATTATTATTATTATTATCGTTATTATTATTATTATTACTGTTATGATATTGATGTTATCATCATCATCATTATCAACATCATCATCGTCATCGTCGTCGATCGTCACACTTTGCCATTAAAGTGGCATCTTCTCTAACATATATTCACGTGTGTGTCTATATATGTCCCCGACCCGTACCTGTGAGCGCTTGCGGTGAAACAGGTGTTTGCGCCTCTCGGGCTCAAAGTTGTAGGGAGATTTTAGTGCGTGTTATCTTTGTGGGTCATCCATATTTAGCTTTTATTTTGACATTTATTATGACTTATCAGTTGGTATTGTTTAAACAATTTTACGAATATATATACATTTTTGCGGCGTAATTGTCTTTATGCTATGTTATTTTTCTTTGTTCACAAATGAATTTTCTTTTCAATGAATTTACTTACAGTTTGTGTTTGTCCTTGCAGAGCGCTCCTGTTCCCAGCGGTGAACTCCCGGCGGCGGTTTCTGATCCACAACACCGTCCAGGAGTACTTCCCCGGCCTGACCACCGTCAGCGTGGGTCACGGGGAGCAGCGCCGCACCGTCGTCACCTTCAGGAACTCGGCGGAGGACGCGCAGGAGGCGACCCAGCACAGGTCGTCGAAGCAGGAGCAAGAGGAACAAAAGGAAGAAGAGATAGAAGGAGAAAGGATAGGAGGAAAGGGAGGCGGAGGACGACGGCGAGAAGCAGCCGCAGGAGCCACAGGGGCAGGATCAGCAGGAGGCTGTCCCGAAGAGAGACTTCCGAAGAACGAGGACCGGAGAGACGACGCCACCACGAAGGCCGCCAAGCTCCAGCACCACCAGCAGTGCCCGCAGCAGAAACAAGCGCCGCCGGCCCAGCAGCAACAGCACCAGCAGCAACAACACAGTCGGGGATCACAGCAGCACAAGGGCCCCCAGCAGCAGGCTGAACAGAGACAGCAGCAGCAGAGGAAGGGGTCGCAGCAGCAGCTCAATAACGTAGGACCACAGCAGCAACAACAAAAACAACAGGTACAAGAACAGCAACAACAACAACAGACTTCAGGTAAACAAAGACAGCGGTCGAGGAAAGCCCGCAGTCGCAGTTGTCACTCCGAGCCAAGGAACGGCGGTCGCCAGCGCCAACAGCAGCAACAACATCAACAGAAGCAGCAGCAACAGCAGCAGCAGGGGAGCAGCAGTGGAGGCGGCGGCCCGAAGCATGACGAGCGGCAGGTGAGAGAGGACACGCCGCCCGAGGACACACAGAGCAAGAAGCGGCGGAACCGAAGGAACAGGAAGCAGCGGGAGAGGCAGGAGCAGCAGCAGCAGAATCAGCAGGCGGAGAATGTGAACGGGAGACACGAGGACGAGGACGAGAGGGACAACTCAGTGCCATACCGCGCCGGCCACCACCACCACAGGGGCGGAAACCATGCCTTTGAGCGCAGGGGAGCAGGCCAAGTGAGAGCGAGCGGAGGAGAGTCCGAGTGGGACTTGTGCGCCCGGGGAGTCGAGGGCCATGTGAGTGAAAGCGGTGGGAAAGCAAACCGAGTGAAAACCGAGAGTGAGAGCGATAAAGCGAGGAATAGCAGCGCCGGACAAGGAAGCGGAGGAGGACCTCACGCGTTCAGAGAAGACGGCGGCGATCTAAGGTAATTGGAGTTCATTGATTCCTTTCTTTAATCTTGATGGCGGCGGTGATGTCATTTTCAGCAGATTGGAGGTAGGGTTACGTTCGACGGCAACGAAGTGTGGGTCGCGGGTGCCCCGAGGGGGGAGGGTTATTATTCTTCCAATACTCTTTAATTGTCAGAGCTTCGTATATCTTTTGCCTTGTTTTTCTTCCCTCCGTTTCCTTTCTTTCCGTTGCCAGTTGTGTTCACTCTGCTCTCTCCAGCCCTGTATTTATTGACGCGTTCATTGGCGTCGGAATATTGCCGCGCTATCAGCCGCCTCCAGCCACAGCTCTTTCACCCCATCCCCCATTTCTCCATATCACATCAGTCTTCGACAGTCCTCCACCTTTTCCCTCGCGCACACTTCGTCCTCCTTTCCTACGTAAGTCATTCTTTCTTCCTGCCCTTCTCCCCTTCCCCTTCGTTCTCACCATCCTCCCTTTCCCACCTTCTCCCTTTCTCATTTTTTCTCTTTCCCCATTTTTCCTGTCCACCTTTTTCACTTCCTTCTTTTCCCTCTTTTTCCCCTTTTTTCCTTTCCACCTTTCCCCCTTTTTATTTTTCCATCTTTTCCCCATTTTCCTTTCCACCTTTTTCCTCTCTTCCCTTCCTTCCTCCCCTCTCTTCTTCCTCCCTTCCCCCTTTCTCCCCCTTTACCTCCCACGCCTACACCACCAGTCCTCGATAAGCCTTCAAAGTGTCTAACATCGCCTTTAAAACAGTCCCGTGCTTTGATTTCCTCTCTTCCCCCGTCCTCTCTTTCCCTCCTCCCTCCCTCCCTCCCTCCTCCCACATACGCTGTACTCTATAACATGTACTCAATGCCCTCCCTTTGGATGCCACTCCTTCCGCTTGCCCTCTGCTCTTCCACCTCTCTTCTGCTCTCGGTTGTCTTCGCGTTGCTGGCTTGTTTCGTATGTTTTGTTTCTGAATCCTTTCTGCGTGTGGCCAGTAATATGATAACAGGTCCTAAGGCATTGGTCAGACCCCCCCCTCCCCCTGCACTTCGGCTGACCCCCTGTATTAAAAGGATAGAGGGCCCACGTAAGCCACGGATGTAGACACTGGTTGGGTGTGGCTTGCTGTGGCAGATCTTGCTGTGGGGTCTTGGAGTGTGCTTGGTCAAACCTGTCTAAACCTTGCGGATTCATTTGTTTATTTAGTTTATCGAATCCCCGGTGAGATTGGTTGCTAAGCAGAAATCAGTTGGCAGAGCATCTCACAGTCCCCCGGGGTAGAAACACATGTCTCTTTTTCTCTCTTTCTCTCCCTATTTTTTGTCCGTTTAATTCTCTTGTCTCTTCTCCCTTTCCTGTTTCCATCTGCGATTCTCTGTTCGGTCTCATTCCTTTGTCTCTCTCTCTTCTGGAAGTGCGTTGGCCGTGGAACAAAATGTCGTGTGGATTTATTCTTTAAATGTTGAATGTCATTGGAAATGAAAACAGAAAAGGGGAGTAGGGAGAAGGAAAGGGGGAAGATGAAGAGGGAAATTAAGAGGAAGTGGAAGGCGAAGAGGAAGGAGAAAAGGGAGGATGACGGAGAAGGAGAAAGAGAAGGAGCGTAAGGAGAGAGTAGTAGATGGAGACGCAGAAGGAGGAGAAGAAAGGTTGAAAGGGTTTGATAGGAAGGCGAGAAGATAAAGGAGGAAAAGGGTTCCGAGTCCGATGTGCGTCCTGGCGTTCCCGCGGCGGAGGTAGCCCCCGATCGGCCGTGGAGGAGCAGGAAGAGGAGTGGGGGAAAGAGGTTAGAGGGGGAAAAAGCGGGTAGAGGGAGTGTGGAGGGGGAGGGAGGAGTAGAAGAGGGGAGAATGGAGTGGGAATGAAAGAGGGAGAATGAGACAGGGAAGTTAAGTTGGAGAAAAACTAAGAGGGCGAGAAGTAGTGCAAAAGTAAATGGAGAAGGATTACTTATTTACGCATTATTTTTTATTTCAGTTTCGTGCTTTTAGTTGTTATTTTTTAAGCAGGCTCAGTTTTGAGTTTGATAGTTTTTTCTCTCTTGACGGAATCACTGTTCCCCGTTGCTGTTTAAAAGAAAAAAACAGGTGAAATAAATGGTATGGCGTATGTTTTGAAATAATCTTTAGGGAAACTATATATATTATATATATATATATATATATATATATATATTATATATATATATATATATATATATTTGTATGTAATTATATTGTTATTGTCGTCAAGTAGTCTGCTTGTGTGTGTACTTTCTTTCAGTAGCAAGTTGTTATCATCATAATGTGCATAAAGCAATAAAGGAATGAGTTCCTGAAACTGGGTCGCGAATGAGAACATTTTTCTCTTCGAGGGAAACTTCGACGTTAATGTGGGAAAGGCAGAAGTTTGGGTGAAGTCTGAAACGAGGAAGTTTAATGGATACTTTTTTAGCGTAACTGCATCTTGCACATTTAAGAAAGAAGGGGGGGGGCTGGCAACCAACGAAAAGACCTGCGCAGTTTGGGGGATCCTTTAGACCTGCAACATTGCAGTCTTAAATCCTTTGCAAGGATCTCTAGTCAAAAGGCTGGCACGTGTTAGAACAAGTAGACAAGACATAAATTAGAATACACGGTTTGTTACATAATCTATTAATACATATGAGCAAGATATCAGAATTAGAATGCACGATTATAAACAATATATTGATACATGTGAACAAGCGAGCACATTTAGAATTATACTTGATAAGCAGTTACTCATGTTTATTTTAAGTGCATTGGCATTTACAAGTTTAATTATCCTGTCGTCTGTTGTTGTTTTTCTAATTGTAATTGCGTTTCATTTTAATTGTATTACTTATACCAACATATCGCATTCGCCGATTTCCATTCGTCTCTTTTTTATCTCCCGGCTGCCGCTCGTGGAATAATTCTTGAGCAGATGGTTCTTTTTTTTATTTTTTTATATTTTTTTTACCTTAATGACCATAGCTCTTTTGAGAAAGCTTTTTTACGCCGATATTCAAACGGATAAGAGGGAGGGCAGAACGAACCAGCTGACCAGCTGACCTCTCGCGCAATGAATACTCGGTAGTTGTGTAAAGAACACGTGACTGACAAGGGGAATGGGCCGCGGGTGGGGTGGGGGTGGGGTGGGGGTGGGTGATGGCGAATGGGGCGGTTCGTGACTTTTTCGAATCTCCGATATTTTCCTTTTTTTAGGGTGGGTTATTTAGGGTGTAAGTTTGTTTTCTTGAATGGTTGTTCTGTTAATCTTCTTCGTCTTCTTCCTCGTTTTCTTTGGTGGCGATATGAGACGTTATGGGGACACCTGTTTGTTTCTCACAGACGCAGGAGGGAGAAAAAAAGTTATTGGTTGACTTTTGGGAGGCGGAGGAACGAATGGTGGTGATGATGACGGTGATGAAGAGGATGGCGGCGATGGCGAGGAGGAAGATGAGGGAGAGAATGATGATGGGAAGATGGTATGGAGGATGAGGATGGCGATGGGAAGATGAAGTAAAGGAAGACGGCGAGAATGACGATAAGGGTGGCGATGATGATGATGGTATGATTGATTGTAGGGACCATCGAGAGGAAGGGAAGGAAGAGAATGGGATCTGAAGGCCTCGGGCGCGGGGCCTGCAACAGGTGCTTCTGTTTCGCCAGGAGGGGGGCTGCCGGATGTCTACGGTGGCGGGCATTGGGGTTCGGGAGGGGGCAGGGGGTAGGTGGGGGATGAGGGTTTGAGGGTTGGGATACGGGGGAGGGGGCTGTGGTTGCCAGCTATGCGGACGGTCCAGCGTGAGGACATCTGGAGACCCGAAGCATTCGTGTGTGTGTGTGTGTGTATGTATGTATGTATGTATGTGAGTGTGTGCTTGTTTGCGTATCCTGCTCGAGGCTTCTTTTTTGTTCTTTTTGTTCATTGGGGGAGGTAATGCGGAGGGAGGGAGGGAGAGAAAGGGAGAGGGAGGAAGAGGAAGGGAGAGGGAAAGAAAAGGGGAGACAGGGAGATTGAGTGAAGGGAAAGAGAGAGACGGGAAGGGGAGGGAATGGGGGAAAGAAGTTAGGGAGGGAGGGAGGAAGGGCAGGAGGGAAGAGGATAGGGAAGGAGGAAGCGGTAGAAGGCAGGGGGAGGAGGAGGGACAAGGGAGGGAGGTGGTGCACGAGGCAAGGTGAGGCCGGCAGGGTCCTCCTCCGCCCGAGTTGGCACGGCGGCCGTCCCCTCTGGGCCAGTGCCAGGCTTCCGTCACCGACACCAGCTCCCAGCGGCAGCGGAGGCTACAGTTCTCGGTAGCGAGTGGTGGCGACGTCCCTGCGGCGGGGCTCGTGTGTCTGTGAAGCGCTTGGTCGCCTCGGCCTTATCCTAGTGTTACGAAAGGAGCTGTGTTACGCCCTCCTTCCCCCTTCATTGTCTCTTCGTCCCTGCTACGTACATCCTGCCTCCCGTGGTGCTGCATCACCTGTGCCGCGGGTGTGCTTGCGGGCATGCAGGACGCTCGCAGTCGGGGCCGAATTACTGTAGGGGAGAGCGGGAGACTTCTTGGAACTCTTTTCTCGGCGGCGAGGACCTTCTTCACCGACCGATCACCCGACTCACCAACCTCCGGGCGTCGTTCAGATCGGGTCGGAGTGGTTCCCCCGCCGTGTCATCAGGAGTGGTCCCCGTCGTTCGTAAGCGGGCTGCTGCGGTGTCAGTCACGGTGCCATGTCAAGGTGAGCATGAGCGGCCTTATTACTCCGGCCGTCGACGCGCTAAAATTTCCGCGCTGGGGACAGGCGCAAGAGGGGGAGGGGTATTGGGGGGGGGGGGGGTAGGACGCGCACGTGGCTCTTTAAGGCGAAAAGGTCACATGTTATTATGCATTTGTAGGGAGTGTACGTGAGGCTCTGCCAGTTCGGGTTTGTGTGGTGTCGCCTCTAATGGTGATGTTGGAAAAAAACTGGGATCGTTCGCTTCAGTACACTTTTGAGACGACCCCCCCCCCCCGCAGATAAGCAGCAGCCACCGGGAGAGTCGCACCCACTGTAT